GGGGCCATCTGCTGTGATTGGTTGGGGTGAGAGAAGAAAGACAGGATAAAGAACAAACAAAAGTTCTTAATTATGTGTGAATGAGCTTACATAACATTACAAAAACTAAAATTCCAGCACAAATTAAAACCATGTTACTTCCTGGGTCCAGAAATCCACCTTTGAACTCTGATTCAGTCAAACTTGTTTCTAATTGCAGGAAAGACTTTCAAACTTGAGGAGCACAAGAGTGGATCAGAGTGTTGGAGGAGATTTTGCAGATGACACATTGCCAGCAGGACGGTCCAGACGCACTGCAACTCTTTTGGAGACAGATGAGGAGATTTTCTGTTGTTGTGCAGATGAAAAAATGGTCATTAGAGTATTCCAAACTCCAGGACCGAACATTTGATCCAAACACACGATCCTCCCTCTGTAAGCTACTGATATATCAACACAGTCAAAACATTTTTGCACAGCAGCTGAGGATTGACACAAAATCTGTTTTGTTCATACATGTCACAAACTTGTTTATACCAGAAGGCTTATGTTTCTTTGTGCTGTGTTTATATCAGTTCCAGTTCACGGGCATCTGATGAATAGAAAATCCCACAATACAGCTTAAGTACACAGTCTGTTGTAAGTGCTGTATATTTACAGTGCACTATTAATATTTACAATCAACAGTGCACTGTAAATTTAGCTATGTAGTTTTCTAAACCAGGAATTACTTCGTTATCATTATCTTGTCTAAGAAAATGTTTCTGGGTTCAGAATGTGAATACAGTGAGCAACAGGAGAAGGTATCCAGCAATATCCACTAAAACATGTGTTATATATGAGTTTGACTAACAGCATATTAACACACACACGCGCATGCACACACACGAGAGGGAGAGAGAGAGAGAGAGAGAGAGAGAGTGAAAGACATAAGACAGAGAGGGAACCTTTCGTAAATGCTGCATATTAAAATGGTTACATTTTGTAAATATCACAATATTTATTAAGATTGCAAAATTGTTGCAGTGACATATAAGCGCCTTGAGGCGACATTTGTTGTGATTTGGCGCTATATAAATAAAATTGAATTGAATTGAATTGAATTGAATATAATTTGCTTCTGTTTGGAACAGGCTTTGTTCTAAACTGATTTTATATTTTTCCCTCAGAACAGGGGAACAGCAGCTATTATAGTTTTGTTGTATTAATGTCAGTTGCAAGACATTATAAAAATAAATCTTATATTTACAAGATGAAACTTGAATCCCAACCTAAGCATTTCTCTGATGTCTCAGTCCGTCAGAAAGCAGATTCACGCTTGAATCATCCAGGTTGTCCTGAAGATTTCTCAAACTTCAGGACTGGGAGTTGAGAACTATGGAGAGAGCTTCACAGAGTCCTGCATTGGGTTTGGTATCTCACTGGTCCTGCAGGACCACAGCTAATCTTGCAGCAGTGGGTAGCTATAAGTAGCTAGTGGGTCCTTGGAACCAGAGATGGGCAGTAACGCGTAATCTGATTACTTTTTTAAAGTAACGTGTAAAGTAAGGGATTACTATTGCAAAAACGGTAATTAGATTACCGTTACTTTCCTGTAGGAGCTCTGCGTTACTGCGTTACTAAAACCGTGATTTTTCTGCAGAGTGTCTCATGACAGTGACGTAAGCGAGTGCAACGTTGGTGACAACAGCTGTGTGCAGATCAACAATGGATCATATATCGAGTGC